GAGAGAGAAAAAGAGAGAGAGAGAGATACGAAGGAATACTGTTCATTTATCTTAACAGCAGCATAAATTTAGATGAATATGCATGTCGAAGGATCCTATAGTCCACTGTTGACCATGCTTGCTGGGGAATTCTGGGAGTTGAAGTCCAGACATCTTAAAGCTGCTAAAATTGAGAAACATTGCTATAAACAATAAAATTTCCATTTTCAGGGAGAGAGAGAGAGAAAAAAAAGATTGATTGTGAACTTATTAAATATAGACTCTCACACAACAAAACAAGTTAGTGAGGACACAGAGAAGCGGAATCAATCTAGCTGCCAGGTTCAGGAGTTGCCAAATTTGGACAGCTACTCTATAGAAAAGGCTGATCTGCATAGATTTATACGGTGACTGACTTGTGAGAAACTAACAAAAATAAAACAGATTTATAAACCTTTGGCAACATGTTTTGGGAAGCACACGGTTTGGGATGAAGTCACCTCAGCGTCTTCTTTGGAAGCACCAGAATCTATTATCACCAGTGTATCAAATGTGGCCTTTAAATTTGCCTTGAAAAATGCAGGTGGTTTCCTTTTCTGAGAAAAGAAAGTAGTTTACAGAAGAAGAAAAAAAAGTTCTTTGGGAAAGTAATTGTCAAAGGTCTGATTCAGACATATTAAAACTGAAATTGGGGCATATAAACCCCATCTTTGTCCTTCTGTCTCTAGCTTTGTGGCTTATGACATCATCTTCTATACTTTTTATCATAATCTTAGAATTACAGATTACTATAATACCAAAACCAGAATATCAAACTGCAATCATATTCTGTTTGACAGATGTTAGATGACAACAGAAGCTTCTATCTGTCTCCGTCAAAGTAGTTGCCATGACCTAATGAGATATATATCCGACTGAATAAAGCTAGTTGTGCAAAGTAAACCAGTTTATTTTGGTTTAATAAACCATGGTTGAAGTGCTCAGGGAAGGAAAGAACAAGGGCACAATGCTTGTTTACAACTAAGTAAACAATGCTTTAGAGAACAAAGATTGTTTTGTCCAATCAGGCTCTAAACTTCATCCTGGCATTATAAATATGTTGCTTTTAAAATTTCACATACTTTAATGTTTTTCCTCTTTAAATTGTGGAAGTCTTTATCTGAGGTGCTGGTATTTGGCCTTACCACACCATGGTTACAGCTGTTATTTTGTCTCTGGAGGCATTAGTGTCGCTACTCAGTGATTATGTACACATACTATGCTTAACTTGGTTAGTAAATTAACTCTTTAACAGACTAACAGAGTTGGAAGGGACCTTGGAGGTCTTCTAGTCCAACCCCCGCTTAGGCAGGAAATGCTATATCATTCCAGACAAATGGTTGTCCAGTCTCTTAAAAACCTCCAGTGTTGGAGCAGTCACAACTTCTGAAGGCAAGTCGTTCCACTGTTTAATTGTTCACATTGTAAGGAAATTTCTTCTTAGTTCTCGGCTGGGTCTCTCTTTGATTAGTTTCCATCCATGTCATCTTGTCCTGACTTTGCTTTTGAAGAATAGGTTGACTCCCTCTTCTTTGTGGAACCCCCTCAAATATTGGAAGACTGCTATCATGTCACCCCTAGTCCTTCTCTTCATTAGACTAGCCAGGCCCAGTTCCTGCAACCATTCATCGTACATTTTAGCCTCCAGTCCCCTCATCATCCTGGTTGCTCTTCTCTGCACTTTTTCTAGAGTCTCAACATCTTTTTTTTATAGTGTGGTGACCAAAACTGGATGTATTGATCTATTAAATGAAAAACTAATCTGGGTTTTCAACACAGACTAAGCCACAAAACAGACATCAAAATTCCAACTGAAAATGCAAACCAAGTTTAAAAACAACCAGGCTTATCTTTCAGTGCAAACATACCTGCCAAGGTTTTAACTTAACTTAGTTAAGCATGTTGTCTGACCTAAGTATTCTATGGCTAGAAGATGATCAGATGGTGGCCAACACCATCTGTTTGGTCCTAGACATGCTTTCAACATTTGGACTTCCAACTCTGTAGTCAAGATATTAGTTTTTGTTTTTTTTCATGTGCCAGGAATGTCTCAAGGTATGATAAAAAAAAAGGCAATATGGTGGATGGGATGATGCAATCGAAACTTAGTTTACCCGCTTTGCCGAAGGATGCAAAAGGATTAAAGCAAACAAATTCACAACAGAACATTGTACTTCCAAATGCTCTTCTGGTTAGAATTTGATGTAAGTTTCTCCTAAGTAAGTGGAGGTCATGTCCTTGCAGCATATAACTAATGGGCTCGCAAAGGACCCAGTGTAAACCAGTATACACCAAGGAACGTCTTAAATTAATGTTTCTCTTCTTAATTCATCCTTCTGTGTTGTCTAAAAATCCATAGGCTAGGCTAGGCCTTACAATAAGCCAAGCTAAATGGGCTCCATTTTAAGAAGCCCATCTGGGGGAAAGGAAAGGGAATGAAAAAGGGACAATAAACAGCCAATTACTAGATTCATTTTATTGATCTGGAGTAGGAGTTCAGGTCTTCTGTCTGAAGTACCAACTTCCTTGTTCAACTTCTGTTTATGATTGGACAAGACTTATCTAAATTGTGGATAGACTTCTGGAAGTTTTCCATAATGTTCCAATGAGTCTATGGTAGCATTCCAATACTCTAAAATAGATGCAGGTAGTCCTTGACTTATGACCACAATTGGGGCTGGAACATCCCTTGGTAAGTGATTCAGTTGTTATGCAACACCTTCCACCCTTGACTTAACTTGTTGGAAACTTCCTGGGAAAGTCACAAATGACCATCTTGCTGTGCCCAAATTTCGATCACATGACCATGGGGCACACTGCAACAGTCATCAGGGCAAGGACTGGTCATAAGTAACTTTTTTCACTTCCATCACAACTTTGAACAATTGTTAAATGAATAGTTGTAAGTTGAGGATTACCTGCATTCTAGTAGGCTTCATCATTTTCTTTTAATGACCCCATAATCCCTTGCGGGGTGGAGCTGAGTGTTTACTGGCCGGATGCCCTTCCTGTCACCAATGCAGATATATTCAGCAGATATATTCTCATTCTAGTAGGCTTCAAATGTAGGTTGATTCTATAGACCCCAATCTGTTTTTATCAAGTGGCTATGTAACCTCTATGGCAATGTTTTTCAACTGTGTTGGCTGTAAAATGAGTGGACTGGAGTAACTTTGGAAGCTGAAGTCCATACATCTTAAAGCCACTAAAGTTGAGAAATGTTGCTCTGTAGTCCAGAATATTTCCAATTAAGTTTTAGTTCTCAGGATCATGCCGAAATTAAAAATGGTAATGTTGCACCTAATATCCTTTTGCTCACGGTCAAGCTCTGCTTTGAACGCTCACCCCTTCTCCATGTTGGGCAGTGAGGTATGCAAGAGTTTTCTACTCCTACTTCCTCAAAAGTGGAGTAGAAACTGTTAAAATGGATTCTTGGGGAGCTCCAGTTTTGAAGAACAATGTGAACTGCAATCCAGCAAAATTTGCAGGAAAGAGATTTGCTCATTATTATTATTATTAGTGTTAGTGTTCCTGAACAGATAGAGACTTCCACTAGTTTTTGAATGAACATGAGATGGAAAATGAGTTCCTGCTCAATGAGACAGGTTCAGAAGGATCAGGAGTGATCAGAAGAACTCATGTCTCTTACTGGCATTGAATTCCCTGTTCGGTGATAATGCCTCAACAGGATGTAGGTTTCTTTTATTGCAAAGGTTCTCAAATCATGAATCTGAGGATCTTTATTCAATAGCACAGTGTAAATATAGAAAGCCATTGGTGTTCAGTCTGGCCTCTTTTGTTGTTGTTGTTATTCTGTCTTGAGGCTGCAAAAAGACAAGATCAGAATTTTGCCGTTGGTAGGTTTCTGGCCTTCAATTCACAGTGGACGATTGCTGACACCCGGAATAGCTCCTGATTTCCAGAAATTATGGATTATTATGTTCTCGGCCCCGACTTGTGACGGCCAAGGAGGTGAACAGAAGCTGCATTTTGCACAATCCTGCTCCCAAACAGTTTTTTTTTCTACCTTAATTTCTTCTCTGTCACATTAATGTACGGGTGTTTAAGCGCGCACACCCTCAACGCGTCTTGGGTCAATCTTCTGAAAAGCAGGCACGGTTTTGTAAAAATAGCACAGCGTTTCAACAGCATGTACCAGATGTGCCTGGACAGGCCAAATGGAAAGCAAGTGGTTTTCCTGGATAAATGCTGTATACTTTAAGGCACGCCAAAAAAGGGGTGTGTGTGTGTGTGGGATTTTAACTTTTCCATTTCTAGACTTCGCCAAGCTCTCTTTATATTTCACAACCGGGGGTCATTTCTTGGAAATGCTGAATGGTTAAACTAGGGGTCGGCAACCTTAAATACTTCAAGAGGCATTTGGACCTATTTCCCACAGAAAAGAAAACACCGGGAGCCACAAAACTCGAAATGTTCCATTCCATTTTGGCTTTTTTCCCCTCTCATCTCCATCCAGATATTTTTCGGCAAAGGCCACATGTTTATTCTGGAAATGTCTTGCAACATGCAACTTTTTGTTGTTTGCCCATTTCTCACCACATATTAAGCCAGTCTCGTCAGCAGTGAAAGCAAATGAATCTGCCCATGTACCATTAAACGTTGTTTTCTTCTGAAACTTTTTTTTCCCTTGGATTTATCCGTGGTTGGACTACTGGGAATTGAAAAACTAAATAAATTGCATGTCGGTGGGTGTCGCACACTTGCGGTTGTGATGCATATTTTGAGCAATGGAGCCTCAGCAGCGGGATGAAAGAGCCACATGCAGCTCTAGAGTCCTGGGTTGCCGACCCCTGGATTAAACCATCTTTCCCTAGGAGTGATGGATCCTTTCTGTTCTTTTTTATTCTTTTTTTTTCTCTTTTTCATATTTAAAATTTCCACTCTTAAGAAAAAAAAAACGGGGAGGGAAATTTATGAGAATGGACATCTGGAAATATTTAAAAAATAAAACCTCAGCTTTCACATTCCTTTTTATATACATAGATACGAGTAGGTGCAGTATATCTACATATATAAAAGAAAGAGGAATCCTGTGGACTGCACTCCAACGTTTGCTTGTTTTTTTTTTAAAATAAGGGTAAGTATACTGGTGTTATAAATATGCTGCAGTTTTGTGTCATTTTATGCCCGTTGATCCTTCTACGCTGCTTCTTTACCAAATCAGATTTAGAAAACAACCCTAAATAATTCTGGAAAAGGGGGAGTAAAAATAAAGAAATCTGTCTCATCATGCAATGCAGTAGGCATCCGATGGTACTAAATTCTTATCCAATCTATTTACAATATAGCTGGATACATTATTGACATGGGTTACAGTGTTTTGTCACAAAAGGGATCGTTTCTCCCCCCCCCCAGTTGCTCTCTGCCCTCACATGGTCAGACGTGGGTTTCGATGAAGGAATGTGTGTGTGAGAGCAGAGAGGCCGTAATGGTGAGTTCAGAAGCTCCGTTCTTGGCTTTCAAAGCACCGCTGTACTCACAAATGTCCAGGAAAAACTCATAGTTCTTTATTTTCCATTCCTTGAATTTCTTGGACGTCAAGTTAGGTTCGTGGAGCAAGTTGTTGATCATGGCCAGATCTCCTTCCTTGGCCTGTCCGAAAAAGAGAACATTTCAGGTGGAAAAAATATCAATCAATCCTAGGAACAACATTCTCCAGAAATTATGTAGAACTAAATGGGGAGCTTCAGCTGCCAACCTCAAGTCATCAGAACTAGGGCTGATCTACTCCACAGCAGAATGCTGTGTCCCTGTACAGCAAGGGTCTTCAAACTTGGCAAGTTTAAGATTTGTGGACTTCCAACTCCCAGAATTCCTGAGCTAACATGACTGGAGGAGGAATTCTGGGAGTTGAAGTCCACAAGTCTTAAAGCTGTCAAGATTGAAGACTCCTGCTGTACGGCTTAACAGCTGCCATACGAGTAAGTTAGATGCCAGTAAGTTATTATCCCTGGGGATTATAAGCAGATGTATTAAAACTACTATGACTTGTTGTCTTGCTATTCTGAGCCACATAGCACTACCAGCCTTACAAAAGCAAAGTGCACTAGTGAGAGACCACAGAAAAATTATTACAAAGGCAAGAGGCACTAGTGAGTATAAAGAGAAATATTGTGAACAACTCACTCCTACCAAGCTATGCTGACCGGTGGTGGGATTCAAATTTTTTTTTTACTACCAGTTCTGTGGGTGTGGCTTGGTGGGCGTGGCAGCGGAAGGATACTACAAAATCCCCATTCCCTCCCCTTTCTTGGGGGAAGGGTACTGTAAATTCTCCATTTTCTCCCCACCCCGCTAACCTGCTTTCCAGCTCCATTCTCCTGTGCAGGGCAACCAAAGAAGACCCAGCCAATCAGCTGGGACTCAGGAGGCAGAGAATAGATGGGGGCGGGGCCAGTCAGAGGCGGTATTTGCCGGTTCTCCAAATTGCTCAAAATTTCCGCTACCGGTTCTCCAGAACTGATCAGAACCTGCCGAATACCACCTCTGATGCTGACTGTCCTCATTTATCAACCGGAAGGCTCAAATCTAAGAAGACCCCAAAGGCGCTTGTGGAACATCTGCCCAACAATTTTAACAATCGATTCCTAAATGGAAAGCCAAATGGGCCGCTGAACGTCCAGACATAGGAAGATATAAATGACTGCAATGCCAAAGGTGCCAGGCTTTGAACTATTTTGCCAGTCTTGGAAGACACAAGTCATAGATCTTTTTGATGCCCTTGTTTGATTAAGGAGAACATCAAACATTCATGACTCTCTAGAATAGGGGTGTCAAACTGAAGGCCCGGGGGGTGCTTAGATCTGGCTCGCAGGGCCGCCCTGAAAACAGCAAAGGACTGGCCTGCAGTTCCTCTGCCAGGGAAGACAGAGCTTGCGGCGGACAACTGGGGTGGGATGTGTGTGCATGCTCCCCCCAAGCTCTGTTTTTGTTGTCAGTGAGCTAGCAAAACAAACTAAAAACAAAACATGCTTCCCCTTTTGCATTTGAGCATGCAAGAAGGGAAAGAGGGAAGGCGAAGAAAAAAGAAGGAAAGACGGGAAGAGAGTAAGGAAGGAAGAAGGAGGAAAGAGGGGAAGGAAGAAGAAAGGAGAATGAAAAGGCAAGGAAAAAAGAAAAGGAAGGAAAGAAAGAAAGAAAGAAAGAAGGAAGGAAGGAAGGAAGGAAGGAAGGAAGGAAGGAAGGAAGGAAGGAAGGAAGGAAGATTATAAGGGGAGTGAGCAAGGGTCTGAGGGAAATCCTGCCCTAGCACTTGGCCACCACAGGTGCCCCCAGCATGAGTGATGTCGAGCTGGACATGCCCCCCCTGGACATGCCCCCAGCCCCTGCCCCCCAAGGTGAAACACAAGCCTGATACAGCCATCAATGAAATTGAGTTTGACACTGCTGGTCTAGAAGGTTGCTCTAGTTTCCTTCCCAGAGAGTAACAGGCCCAAAGTCACCCAGCTGGCTTCCTGTCTGAGGCAGAACGAGAATTCACTCTCCTGGTTTCTAGCCCAGTGTCTTGACTACTACACCAAACTGGCCCTCCCTTATGCAACCACACTCTCTCATTCATTTCACAAGGATTTCAGAAGTTTCCTTCATTTTTTTTTAGCCTGCTTCATATTTTCCACCTTTATCTTAGCAGAAAAAAAGAATTCATTAAAAGAAGAAAAGAAATAATAGCTTAATAACTCCACTTTGTGAATAGCAGTAGTATTAAAAGCCCTCCAGCTAACTGCATTCTTGAGGCTACAAGATCTAATCAGGTTTTTTTTTTTGACGTGTGCGTGATTTATGGTTCATTATTATTCATTTAATTTTGAACTTTAATTTTGGCTTGATGCTATCTCTGAAGGTTAACCTGAGAGAAAAAAAAACCTCCCTTCAATTTTGAAATAAAACATAAGGAAAAGGGAGTGGGTGGGAAAAGAAGCAGAGGAATTAGATTAAGTTGACAAAGGAAGAACAAAAGAATGAGTTGAATCAAACATTTAGATCCATTTAGGGTGAAATTCAGTGTCTGGGATGAAATGGGTGGGAGAAGCAAGCAGAATGATGAAAGCAACATTATGTCATTATGTGAAAGGAAAAAAGGAGGCTGAGCTGGAAGGTGGAGTCAAGTGAATCATTAGCCTAGAGTCATTTCATTCCCACTAATGTTATAAGTCCAGCCCCTCTTGAATTCTGTTGACTCTTATCACACCCCAATTTAGTATTGTATGTTAGTTGACCAGATTCTTGTTTATAGGCTTCAGCAATAAATCTTCTGAACTGGAACTTATTTGCGATCCTGATCCTTCATGCCTGACATCACGCTCCAGTTCTTGCCCTTTTCTGTCTTGGTGTCATGATGTTTCACCCAGGCCATAAGGGGAACATCTTGTAATGTGATGATGTCACTATTTGAATGAGAGCAGCAAAGTCTTGTGAACATTCCTGGGTCAAATTGGCCTTCTGCTTGGATTTAGAGATGGCCACTGGATGGAGAATTGGCCTTTCTACATTCCTCTGATTCAGGAGTGGAAAAACTCTTCAGTTCTTACTGTAATAATCTACAGCCCCTTTCACTGAATCTACTACAGCAAGGGTCTTCAAACTTGGCAAGTTTAAGACTTTGTGGACTTCAACTCCCAGAATTCCTGAGCTGGAGGAGGAATTCTGGGAGTTGAGCTTGAAGCTGTCAAGTTTGAAGACCCCTGTATTACAGGGAGAACATGTTCTTACTTTTAAAGTACTTTTCAGTACTCTGATGCGATGCAACTTTTCATTGATGACAGGGTCATTGCATCTCTTTACGAAGGACCTCCGGAATTCCTGCTTGGTGGAAGGGCGTTGCTCTCCAAAGGCTGACAAGCTGGCTTGTTCCAAAGTCTTGTAGAGTTCATGAAGACCATCGGTGCTCTTCCTTCGTTCTTCTACTTTTTCTAAAGAGAAGCAAGCCTGCTTTAGAAGCAAGATATATTTATAGTGAAGGGAAACAAAGTGAAAAACTGCAATCCTTATTGTGGCAGATGAATATTGTGCGAATCAGAGCCGTGGTGGTGCAGTGGTTAGAATGCAGTATTGCAGGCTAATTCTGCCAACTGCCAGCAGTTTGATTCTGACTGGCTCAAGAGCTGGGGTGGTGCAGTTGTTAGAATGCAGTATTGCAATACTGCAGGCTAATTCTGCTGACTGCTGATTGCAAGCAGTTTGGCAGTTCAGTTCTTACTGGCTTAAGGTGGACTCAGCTTCCAATCTTTCTGAGGTTGGTAAAATGAGGACCCAGCTTGTTGGGGGCAATATGCTGATTCTGTAGACTGCTTAGAGAGGGCTGTAAAGCACTGTGAAGCAGTATATAAGTGTGCTATTGTTATTGCCCTTCCTTCCTTCATCCCTCCCTTCCTTCCTTCTTCCTCCCTCCCTCCCTTCTTTCCTGTGAGAATGCAATATTACAGGATAATTCTGCCCACTGCCAGCAGTTCAATCCTGACCGGCTCAAGGTTGACTTCCATCCTTCCAAGGTCAGTAAAATGAGGACCCAGATTGTTGTGGACAATATGTTGACTCTGTAATCCACTTAGAGAGGGCTGTAAAGCATTATAAAGCAGTATATAAATCCAAGTGCTATTGCTCTTGTTATCTTTGTTTAATCCCAATGAAATGTAAAAATAAAATCTATTAAAGAGCCAAGTTCCAACCTACGTGAACTCTGGGAATGAACTAAACCAAGCAACAGAATTTCAGAGCTATAGCTGGCTATAGCCGGCTCTTAATACATTTCAAAAATCCTATTTGAAGTCATTGATAGTGTCACAAAATATAAAATCTGGACTTAAGGTCCTATTGTCTACAATCGGTCCTCAAATTATGACCCCAATTGGGATCAAAATTTCCATTGCTAAGCAAGATGGTTGTTAAGTGAGTTATGGCCAAATGTATGACCTTTTTCTGCCCAAGTTGTTAAGTGAATCACTGCAGTTGATAAGGGAATAATGCACCTGTTAAGTGAATCTGGCTCCTCCCATTGACTTTGCTTGTCAAAAAATTGGCTGGGAGAGTCAAAAATGCCAATTATGGTAAGTCTCAAAACTCCACAACCCTCGTAAATACATACAAATTGCCAAGCACCAAAATTTGATCACATGACCATGGGGGTGCTTGTGATGGTTCCCAATCTAAGGACTAGTCATAAGTCACCTTTTATACAATGTTGTTGTAATTGTAAACAAGTGGTTATACGTTCCACATTGTACATTGAAGATGACTTATATTCAAAACTTTCCAGAATAGCTGGGAACTTTGGATTCTACAAATATTGCTGATTGGCCAGCATGACCGATGTCATAAGGAACACTGGGGCTTGTTGTTCAGCATATGACCATAGGATCCCCACCTCTGTGTTAGGGAAGGTATACGTAGTTTCTATCTAATGGGTGGAAGAAGCTTGTCAAAGAGAGACACAACCTAGAAGTAAGGAGAAATTTTCTGACAATGAGAACAATTAATCAGTGGAATGGCTTGACTCCAGGAGTTGTGGGCGCTCCATCGTTGGAGGTTTTCAAAAACAGACTGGACAATTATTTGACTGGGATAGTATAAGTCTTCTGCCTTGATCAAGGGGTTGAATTAGATGTTGTGGCCCGCTGGTGGCTGGCGGAGCCGGCAACAGAGTCGGACAGTAGTGAGGAGGTTGGGGAGGAACCTGGGCCATTCCTGGAGGTTGAGGAAGGCTCAGATGAGGGCTCTGTGTCAGAGGCAGAGGTGGGGCCAGGGCAGGCTGGCAGTCATCAGCTGCCTTCGGGCTCGGACAGCAGTAAGGCAGGGGAGCTTCTGGAACCGGTTCCCAGCCTGCACATGCGCAGAGCTGCCAAAAGGAAGGAACAATTAAGAACTCAGAGTTGACGTGGGAGTAAGGCCACAGGTGGACGATGAATGGCCTCTCCCATCAGGATTAAAAGAGAAGCAAAAGGAGGAGGGGGCTTTTGCAGGAAACAACTCGCTTGTTCGGTCATTTGTTTGTTTGGCAAACAATTTAACCAAGTCCAGTTCTTTTAACCTCTTACCCTCTTCACACAAGTTACTCGGCTTTTTAACGGCCAATTCCTCTTCCGACCGCTCTTCAGAGATCCCACTCGTTTTTACTCGCCCTTTGATCCGGACATCGCGATTTCGTGGAAGGCTTTGGCTTCTTTGCTTCTGGGGCTTGGAGTGAGAACTGTGACCTTTGTAGCACTCGACCAATGGGAAAGGGCCATCCTGATCGTGGTTGTGGCGTCTCTGGACAGGTAAGGTGGCTTGTCGCCGCCTCTCCGGGGACACCCCAAATCTCTCGTTCACATAGTCTGAATCAGTAGGGACAGTCTGGAGAAAATGGAGTCCTGAACTGGTCAACGGAGTCTCTATAAGATCCTGCCACGAACGCCGTTCTCTGTAGGGAGGTCTAGAACCTCCTGCAGAGTGAGTGCTCCCTGCTGCTGGATCCTGTCGGGATTCTTCTGCAGAAGAATGGGAATAGGTTGATTCATTGGAGAAGTGACGGCCATGTTTGGGCTCAGGGAATGGACTTGAAGAATTCATCTAAAAATAAATAAAACACCCGATTGTAAGATATAGTTATGGAAAGACGCTGGAACCATACAAGATAGACTCTTCCAAGGTAAATCCCTTTCTTTCTTTCAACAGGCTGTTACTGGGTCGTGGTGGCGCAGTGGTTAGAGTGCAGTACTGCAGGCTACTTCTGCTGACTGCAATTTTGCACTTCAAATTTCACCAGCTTAAGGTTGGCTCAGCCTTCCCTCCTTTCGAGGTGGGTAAAATGAGGACCCAGATTGTTGGGGGCAAGAGGCTGACTCTGTAAACTACTTAGAGAGGGATATAAAAACACTGTGAAGTATGTAAGTATATAAGTCTTAAGTGCTATTGCTATTGCTTCTTGCAGAGTTGCTTCCAAGAGCATCTCTGTTAGTGAAATGTATTATCTCTGTGACATCCAGCTGACTGTTGATTTCAATTCCCAACACACCCAGAAAGAGTTTCCATGAAGATTCTCCATCATCCAGGTCATGGTTGTTCCAAAGCTGCTTTTTCCAAAAAGGCAACTGCTCTTTCTTTCTTTCTTTCTTTCTTTCTTTCTTTCTTTCTTTCTTTCT